TCTATTTGTTTCAATATGTTGTATAAAAGTGACGTTAATATTATTATATTTTGAACACTTATTTAAATTCAAGAATTCAAGCAGCCTGAATAGCACAGCAATTTGCTGTGCAGAGTTGCATCCCTTTGGCATGCCCAGACCTAGGATTGGGTTGAATCCCAGTTTGTTCTGAAGATGGTTATAGGTGTGTCAAGACTGTTGCCATTTCTCATGGGTTGCATTGAAATAATACATGTACAGCATCAAGCTGACACGCAGTGATATACAGAACATTCTGTTCAATGGGGCGTTGAAGCTAAAACTCACTCACTCAAGAAATCCCTTGAAACCAGTTCAGTTCAGTTCAGAGTAGTATGACTGATGGTTGAGTGAGTGAGTATGGTTTTATGTCGCTTTTAGCAATATTCCAGCAAAATCATGACGGGGGACACCAGAAATGGGTTTCACACATTGTACCCATGTCGGGAATCGAACCTGGGTCTTCGGCGTGCGCGCGAACACTTTAACCACTAGGCTACCCGACCGCCCCGAATGATGGTTGAAGCACATGTACCCTTTTTTATGCCTAAAAGTGACATTCAAATTGTCTAAACTCTCATTTCGAAGGGAGAATTATAAATTCAAAAGTCAAAATGAACCTAGCTATCAACAAAGAAGATATATGTTGATCTAGTGAGTGAGTGAGTGAGTGAGTGGTATAACAACTAGAATATCACAGTTTAGTATTTCAAACAAATGACAGAGTATTAACAAGATCTGACAGATTGCCAGCAACCAAACTTTGCCAATCTTACATAGGTGACGGAAACATAAAGCTACCTTCACACTTCAGTTCTGGCGGTTGTAGGAAAGTTCAGCCAAGTAATAAAATATTTGCATTTAAAACTGTGATAGAAAAATCATTGAACAATGGGATCTTACCCCTCAGAGTGAATATAATTTTACACTATTTCAATCCATTTGACGGCGAGCCTTTCTGAGTGGGTGTGGGTGTGTGGGTTGGATGTTTGGTAGTCAGCATTCAGTCTTTTGGGATGGCATATAAATAGGCAGACCATCGACTTCAGTAGGAGCTTAATTGAGATAAAATTGAGATAAAATACAGGCAAACATCCAAATCACAGATAACGTGGCCTCTCGATTCGGTTAAACTTTATCCTTGGGTTGTTTGTTTGTTTGTTGTGTAACACCACACTCAGCAATATTCCAGCTATGTGATGGTGTTCCGTAAATAATCAAATATTGTCCAGACAACCCTAGACCGACATCATGAGCATAGATCTACGCAATTGGGATACAATGACATGCATCAACCAAGTCAGCGAGCCTGACCACCCGATCCCGTTAGTCACCTTTCACAACAAATATGGGTTGCTGAAGACCAATTCTAGCCCGCATCTTCACAGGGGTGATTCTTAAGACAAGCATAGGTTATTGGGGACCAATTTCATCCTGAAATCACACGACTGTTGATTTGTCCACTTATGCCAATCCTCTCATTTGATGATTATTTGTTTCATCAAGTTGTCCACTCAGGCTTCCAAAGTTGAATTCCGTGAATAACAGATGCTGTTACCAAACCATGCTGTGATAATACAAGTTGCATGGCAGCATGGAGATAACCTGCCATCAACCTTGTTGAGATTACACAGATTCAATCTTCTGAGTGACAAACGATTTTGAATAGTCAAGATAGTGACAGAACTAAATTGAGTGTCTAAATTTGAACGAAACAAGAGACGTTTTACTGTTGTTTGACCATATCTCATTCATGAATATCATCAGGCCATGCAAAGCATCTCTCCAACCAGGCTGATGGTTAAGGTGTTTGCTTCATATGACTAAGACAGAGTTTGGATTGTGTGTTGATCTCATTATTGGTGTGTTTGCAGTCATTTGGCTGAGTGTTTAAAACAGCGTGACACCATGCGTTCACTCACTTACTCACTCAACCTCTCAAACACTTACTTATTCAACCATTCACTTATTCAACCAAACCACTCACTCACCAACTCCACCGCTCACTCAACCTCTCGCTCAACCACTCACCTGAAACCTTTACCCTCCAACTAACTCACTCATGCATGCATGCATGCACGCACACACATACCCAAAACGACTCACTCACACACCCTGGCACCCTCTCACTCACTCACTCACTCACTCACGCCACATTTCCTGTCTCCTATCACCACAGAGGCTGTTGGGTAGCCTAGTGGTTAAACCCGGGCTCGATTCCTGACATGGGGACAATGTGTGAAGCCCATTTCTGGTGTCCCCAGCCGTGATATTGCTGGAATATTGCTAAAAGCAGCGTAAAACCATACTCACTCACTCTTATCACCAAAGGAAAAGCAGAGGCTCATTCTAATTCACTCTCTGGCCATAAAGTTCGAATACATGACTCATTAAACTTTAACTACTGGTTCCCAGAAGATGCAATGTATCTGTGTCAGTCCTCCATACAAACAGTCAGTCCATTGTCTATATTTGGACAGTTAAAATGCTATCAACATCCATCATTTTTTGTGCTGCATGGTGTCATTCATAATCAATACTGACTAAAAACGTCACACGTTTATTGGTCAATGTTCTCTCGTGTGTTTTAACCACATCTGTGCCAGGGTCATGTAATAGTTAAAAAAATGATTGATGGGTTGTTATTAATCAAAATTAATGGGTAGCATTTCACGACTCTGCAATTTGGTATTTCCCATCGCCGGTCCCACTCTGCAAATTGAGGATAATGGTGCTTATCAAAAGGCAATAACTACACTCTGTGCTATGTCTTGGTATATGATATATCTATTATAAAGTAATTCTTTGGGGATATCTCTGCTAAATAATGATAGCTACAATTTCAATTTGGGACAGAAATGTGGATTTATTGCCCAGCAGTTAGATGTAACTGTACTGTCTGTTATTAAAGTCCTACTGTTGTCAAGATGGCTTTGTCAACTTTCAGACATAATAACAGTATTTGAAGATGGAACTTACTCAAAATTACATTTATGTTGATTATTTCCTCAAATGTTAAAATTGGGGTGAAGTAGGATATCAGTAGTAGTAGTAAATATTGGAAATGGGTACAGTACTACAAAATTGGTAATATAATTCCAGATATTAGTCTTGTGGGCATTTGCACTGATACCTTTTGGGCAAGGGATTGGTTGGTTGGTTTGTTGTTTAATGCCACACTCAGCAATATTCTAGCTATATGACGGCGGTCTGTAAATAATCAAGTCTGGACCAGACAATCCAGTGATTGATATCATGAGCATCGATCCACGCAATTGGGATGGATGACATGCATCAACAAAGTCTGGCCACCCGATCCTGTTAGTTGCCTCTTACGACAAGCAGTCGATATTTATAGCAAGCATGGGTTGCTGAAGACCTATTCTACCCGGATCTTCACGGGTGTGGCAAGGGAAATAATCTTGACAGCAGGGTTTTGGTGTTCTGCTAGCAGGGATACAGGTGGTTCAGTTGTCTTAGGCGCTGCAATTCGCTGTGAGTTGCATCCCTTGGACACGCCAGAAACCTATGATCATGGGTTCAAATCCTCAGGTTTGCCCTAATTATGTTACTAGGTTTGTCAGCACCATACCCGTGCTTGTGGATTTCACAACAGTAGTAAACATCCAGTGACCTGAAAATCACATACCAAGAATCAGGGGTAGAATAGGACTTCAGCAACCCATGCCTGCCCTAAAAGGTGGCTGTGCTTGTTGTGAGAGGCAACAAATGGGATTGAGTAGTCAGACTCGCTGACTTGGTACATGCATGTCATCGTCTCCTTATTGCGTGGATCGATGCTCATAATGTCAATCACTGGGTTGTCTGGTCCAAATTTGATTATTTACACACCGCTGTCATATAGCTGGAATATTGCTAAGTGTGGCGTTAAACAACCAAGAAAGAAACAAATGAACAAAACCAAGAAGTATTATTTCTTTACATACCTTTAATCATAGAGTGCTGTTTGTTGTTTCCATGTTTCATGTGAAACAATTGTGACCTCACCTCACCTCACCTCACCTCACCTCACCTCACCTCTGCCCATCTGCATTTTTCTCCCAACTTAACATGACTGGAGGGGAGGCCAACTCACTCCAAATCCGCATATCTTCCTCCAGATGAGTTAACCATTATGAGTTATTTCATTTCAAAATAATGACGTGTTCTCCTACATCATGTGATATAACAACAAACGTCAAGAAAATTGGACATCTTTGTGTCAACTTTCTTTAGTTAACTGACCATCCAACTCAGTGTTTTTAACCAAGGGTTACACAAAACATAAAAATAATATTACTCAAACTTGTACATTATAGAATGATGGATCGGTATGAACTAAAACCCTCACTACATAACATTGGTGTATGTATTCCAACTGTCATATCTAAATGAAAACAAAAACTTTAAGATTGATGATGCTTCAGAAGCAGCATGATAGAACATACGTTGCAGAAGCCTTTCCAAGAGAAGATGGGGTCAAATTATTCGGAAATTTTACCAAACATGCTGCTCTGTCTAAGCATTTCACCTACTAATATCACTCTAGTGAAAGGCTGCTTTTTTAATTTGTCCGAGCAATGTCAAATGGGACCACAAAGATTTCACGATCTCGAGAGACTAACAAATTCTAGATGGCGATCCTCGATTTGTGATCACAATGCTGCGTAAGCCTAGAGGATAATTATATTCTCGTTGAATCCAGCCTACTATCTGTTCACAGAGGAAACTCCCTAAGGATTTTATAGGAGAAGCAGTTACATGGCCTGTGAGAAATTTGACATTATTTATACCATCTAAACGCAAGGTATGAGATCGGTATTGGGAGTGATTCGGGCGACTGGTTAAGAGACTATGCTATCTGCGTTGAGTTCTTGTCTGGAAATTCCAATCCAATTGTCACAGAATCTCTCCCGAGTAGTTTAAAATCAATAAATAGGGAGAGGAGGTTGGATGCCAGTACTCTCAGAGCTCGCTGAGGATTTGGTCGAGGTAGCTACCTCTTGCCCCTAATTGTGAAAATAAACTCTCCCGTTATCGGAGACTAAGCGAGGCTGTAGGACTGTGTTTCCACTGACTGTACCGAAGTATGGACCTTCTTGTTAGGCTTGTTTAAATGATATTTTTCCCACCAAAGGGCTTACTTTGGATTCCTATCTGAATGTGATTCCTTGGATTTTAGTGCTACAGTGTTGTTAAGACCAAACTAGCAAGGTAAGGAATGAAATTGAGTGAAATTTACGCATGTTCATTTCAATGCAACAGAGCAGCCTATGGGTCTTACAGGTGTTTCTGCAATAAGTTTGATAATGACGGTGAGAGTTTGGATGTTACAAAATAGATACATTTATTCAATTATCCAGTTTAAAATTGTTTTCAGGTTCATGTGCTGTGGTGTTACATTGGATATAGAATAGAGTCATGAATAAAGCAAGTGATATTTCACGCACAGTGGCATATCCACAGTGGTGTTTTATATACGTATGCAATATTCATGTCTTGAAAGGTTTGCTTGGTAATTTGCATATAGCAGCTATGACGGAAGCTGATTTGTAGATGTTAAAAATATATTACCCACAAACTGTTGTACATTTCCCTCGTATCAAGCCTTATTGTCAAGCCTGTCATTTGTTTTATATTAAAGAAATTATTGATATTGTTACCAAAACTACATAATAAAACACATCATAGCTGGAGACAAACCAATCTCCAGACGCCATAGGGGTAATTAATATTTTAATAAATAAGACTTACTGTTTTGGAATTGATTCAAAATTTGGAAAAATGTGTGCAAGAGGTTCATGACATGTCTATACTTTCAACAGTGACAGCTCCACATTTAAACACGTTTTTAACAAAATTTACATGCCATCTCTAACATTTACATTTAATAAATATGAACTTACCATAATTACCATATATTTATGATTATCCATGATTATATTCGCCTTTATGAAACTCTAGTCATTATTCTTCTATATGAATATGAAACTTATTTCAGAGGATTATGTTTAAGCACAAGAGATGATGTTCAGAAAAAAGGAAAATGTGATGAAATTTATTTCTTTAGCTCTTCTCACTGTGAACAGTTCAAGTCTATTATGTTGTACAGGCCTAATTTCTATGCTGATGTTTAAGCAAAAACAGAACTTTGATAGCTGGTGCACATTGGTAATTGAATGAATATTGACAAGATGCAGCTCGACCATGTCCTAAACGTGTTAAGGTAATGCTCCTTTGCACTTGGCCACGTGATTGACACGTCTGTATCAGCCTAAGAAATTTGTGAACATGTTTGCAGTTACACCTCTGAATGAGTGTTATAGGTGTTCATGTTCTCGAGAGATATTGGCATTAACTTGAAGTAAAAAATTAGTCCTAATCTAATAATGCTTTCATTTATTGCTGAGGGATAAAATAGGGAAAAACGGAAATCATATTTCCCGATATCAAGTGGACATTGATGAAACATTAAAGGCCATAGATTTATATGTCTGGTTATGATGAAGCAAACTTTATTGACTATTCCCTGGTGTGCAGCAACCCTAAAGTGCTGAATATGCAAATAATAATATCATTTCAATTTTATCGAATTTCAAAGTTTCCAGGGAAAAGAATTCCATTGATTTTTGGAATGATGTACAGGTTTTACTGGAACACTTTGACAGCGGTTGATCAGTGAAGGTGCTTGCTGTCACGGGACATTATTAGTTTATATTTATTATTGTATTTTCTTTGAGAAAACTTTGGTTTTCTAAAGAAAGATTAATATTGTACTACTTTCAGAGTTGTAGCATTAGGGATAGGGAGGTTCTTGTGTGCATGGTTTTATTGATATATAACATTTTGATCTACTTTCCGATAACTGTTTCACTCCATACCTAGGTTTTTTCTGTTTTTAATCTAAAGAAATGTGTGTGAATCAAATAATTGTTGCTGTAGTACAATCAAAAGAAGTTGAATAGAATTTGTCATTGCTGACCATTAGTTTTTTTCTGTTTCTGTGTCAAGATTCAACCTTTATTAATGATTGAGCCTCTAGTCATTTTGGACCAGCTCCGTGGTCTAGAGGATGGAGCACGTGCCTGGAAAGCAGATGGTCGATGGTTTGATACCCATGTCATACCAAAAATCGTTAAAAGCTGGTACTTGTTGTTACCCTGCCTGTCGCTCTGCATTATGGATATAAAACAAAGAACTGGTCGTCGGAGTCAGTACACTGAGTTTGAGTGGTGCCTCGATGTTAAGCTGAGGCACAGTATTTCAGTTGGCTAGCACTTAAAAAATGGCATTAGACCAGACTAGTACAAGCAGCCATACACGTGCATGGACGTATATATAAGTGCAATAATCGAGATGTTAAACCCCTTTCACTTGACCTCTGGTGGTAAAACTGCCTGAATTTACCACCAGTCTAGCATATGTCTTACTGCAGACATTATCTCTATGAGGATCTGCCTTGTTTGTCATAGTTATATTGGTTGGACAATGACATTCAATGCTCTTGTGACTAATTCAAAGAGGAGGATTGTAATGAGTTATTATGGAGATGTGAAAAATATGATCTATCAGATTTTGTTTTTATGTAATGGGTAGGTTTCGTGGCAGAATGAAGCCGACAGCTTGAGGTCTTACTAAATTTTGCTTTGTTTCATTTCGTTGCTGTGTGGGATATCTGATTGTTTTTCATAATGACAATGTAATATAATCGTCTCATAGATTAGAGTAGCTTCCCTTTGATAAAGGGCCATTACTCTAGTGGATGGAATGATTGATTGCCACGAAAGATCGTCACTGACAAAGTTATTTTTATTTAAATCGCCTTTAAAAATCATGAATACATTTTGCCTCTACAAAATCAACCAGAGTCTAAAATACATGTTTCAGTTGGAACTATATCAACTGATTTTACGGTCCGACCGACTATTCACTGAGCTTGTGATGTAATATATTAATGCGCAAGGCTTGCTATATACAATGGTCAACCCTAATACAGGACATTTGTCATCCCCCAAAGCACAAGCGTGGTAACATCTTTATCATATTTTGTCATTCTTAAATTCTATTGTCAAACAATAAGTACCTAAACATTTCCTTGAATGTATGCATTGATATATTGGTGGGTAGACAGTCAGATAGTGACAATAGGTATTAGGTAATATAGTTTGCAAAGGCTACTGAATACAATGTTATTCCTAATACAGGATAATGAACCATTCTTAAAACACACTCGCTTGATAACCTTGACATGTTTGAATTATAAAGGGATGATAGTGTTGATGATGATGATGATGATGATGATGATGAGCAAAATAAATAATGATGATGATGCCACATATGTGTGTGTGTGAGTGTGAGTGTGAGTGTGAGTGAGAGATTGTGTATGTGTATGTACATATACGAATATACACAAATATACATGCATATGTGATAAATATTCATACGTTATACTACAGCTAGGATTTCACTTACGCAAGGTAAAGATAAAACTCTTTTATCCAGAAATAGTAATTTTGCTTCAGTGAACAGATAACACATCCCACACTTATCCAAAGTAAATAACCTTTTAGAAACATCCAACATTCATAAGGTCACCCACACAAGTTATTGTAGTTCATTTTCATTGGCTTTAAGAAAAGCATATAGAAGTGGGGACAGTATATTATCCTCTTTGAGGACTCATAACATCTGCTAATTATTTTGGTCTGTTTTTTTAATTTTCAATTTAATCTTCACAGTCCCAACTGAGTCTTCATAGCATGGTCATAAAATCACGTCCAGGCTTTAAGGGAACTAATTATTAACAACAATTTCTTGCAAATTTTTCTGTATTAGATGTCGCCTAAAATGATGCACAGGAGAGAAATAAAAGGAGACATTGAACCCTTTTTGCCGAGTCTGCATGAAGGAATGTGTTTAGTCATGTGATGTTTAATTTTCAATTCCGTTACCATTTTTCATTCCTTGAGAAGTGGACCCAAGGGGACTGGACAGATATTTCAAGAAAATTAGACAGGTCTTTCTGGGAAAGTGGGAATTTGCCGGAAATCAATAAATTTGTTGTGAAGTTTGGTACTGAGGTTATACTCTATGGTGATGCAATGTGTTGCCATCATGGATGCTTATACTCCACGGTGATTCAAATGTGTTGCCATCATGGAAGCTTATACTCCATGGTGATGCAATGTGCTGCCATCATGGATGCTTATACTCCATGGTGATGCAATGTGTTGCCATCATGGATGCCTATACTCCATGGTGATGCAATGTGTTGCCATCATGGATGCCTATACTCCATGGTGATGCAATGTGTTGCCATCATGAATGCTTATACTCCATGTAGATGCAATGTGTTGCCATCATGGATGCTTATACTCCATGGTGATGCAATGTGTTGCCATTATGGATGCTTATACTCCATGGTGATGCAATGTGTTGCCATCATGGAAGCTTATACTCCATGGTGATGCAATGTGTTGCCATCATGGATGCTTATACTCTATGGTGATGCAATGTGTTGCCATCATGGATGCTTATACTCTATGGTGATGCAATGTGTTGCCATCATGAATGCTTATACTCCATGGTGATGAAATGTGTTGCCATCATGGATGCTTATACTCTTTGGTGATGCAATGTGTTGCCATCATGGATGCCTATACTCCATGGTGATGCAATGTGTTGCCATCATGGATGCCTATACTCCATGGTGATGCAATGTGTTGCCATCATGAATGCTTATACTCCATGGTGATGCAATGTGTTGCCATCATGGATGCTTATACTCCATGGTGATGCAATGTGTTGCCATCATGGATGTTTATACTCTATGGTTTATTGAATGGCCAGACTGAGATACAAGAGTGTTTATTGAATTACCAGACTGAGATAGAAGAGTGTTTATTGAATTGTCAGACTGAGATACAAGAGTGTTTATTGAATTACCAGACTGAGATAGAAGAGTGTTTATTGAATGGCCAGACTGAGATACAAGAGTGTTTATTGGATGGCCAGACTGAGATAGAAGAGTGTTTATTGAATGGCCAGACTGAGATAGAAGAGTGTTTATTGAATTACCAGACTGAGTTTTTTAAGTTAGATAGGTGTTTAATAAGTAAGATTGGTCTTTATTAAGTAAGATGGGTCTTTATTAAGTAATATGGGTCTTTATTAAGGAAAGATTGAGTGTTTTTTAAGTAGGATGAGTGTGTATT